ACTCTTTGGGCCGCCGCCACCACCGCCACCGCCGCTCGAAAGTGCACCCCGCCACGGCCCTGAAATTTTAAAATATTGTTTGTTCTGTGTAAACTATGGCAATAGAGTAGGAATCTGCACAACTTTTCTGTTATGGACCAAGCGGTAATTATCACAGGCTCTGTCAATCACGTGTGCTGTGGTAACTGCTTAGTTCTGCGGTTGTGACCCAAAAGCCACCATGGACAACATTGTGAAAAATGGCATCAGTACTGCTTGCACCACGACATGATTTTATTTACACAAACAGGTCATAATTTGCATCTTTCTGCTGGAGGGAAAATACCTGTAATAGAGGTGTTGGGTTGTTTATTCTCAAGAAGTGTTAGAGAAATTATAAATTTGATACTGCCAAAGCTTACATCAAAACACTACTTCGGTTAACAGATGTGTTCCTCAGATATTAAAAGGAATCTAAAATTTGGGACATGTAGTTATTATATGGGACGCTGGTAAACATAATAAATCCAGAGGTAAAATATTTTGCAAACATCTATCAACCCTGTTTAAAGATCAGCTTTTTTTTTTTTTTACTTTTTAAATTCATATTCATGTGAAAAATTGTCTTCATGTGGAAGGAGTTACTATATCTTCTAGATAAAGAAGCAATGTTTTGATCTAGAGAACATTAAATAGTTTTGACCCTAAGGAATTAAACCATAAAGTTACTACTTGGGTATAGTCAATATTTATTCATTATTCCAGTGTTTGTCTTGGATTTTAATGAAAACAGGAACTGTTTTCTTTTCTGTGAAAGAACAAATTCTATTAGGAAGGCGCACAGAGTACCTGAAACCATATGACAAGTAAATCACTAAAAATAGTATCAGATCCTAAACGCTGGGCAGTACCTGAACTCAGTATGTAGACAGAGAACACTTTATGAGCAAAATTAACTGCAACATACTCTCCCAGGTTTTTAAATAGCCAAATATACTGAGCATTTTTTTTTCATGGACTTATTTGTCATTGAAGAGAACAGTCAACTAGTATTGACAAAATGACCATTTTAGGAAATATGATACTTAGAATTAATGTGCTTCCAATCAAAATACCATCAGTATTTTACAAGGAACTAGAAAAAAATTAAATTTATGTGACTCCAGAAGAAAGCCAGACTGGCCAAGACAATAATGAGCAGCAAGGGAAAAGAAAGAGGGCGACAGTCTCAGACTCTAAATTATCCTAAGTTACAGTCATGAAACAGTAGAGTGGTGGCGAAAATCCAGACATGAGGACAAATGGACTAGAAATGTGAATGCAGAAACAACCCCAAGAATCCTCAGATACCTAAATTTTGACAAACAGATCAACAACATAGACTAGAGAAAAGATAATCTCTTTTAAAAGTGATGTGGGAAAGACTAGTTATCCATGTACAGAAAAATGAATTTAGATCCATGTCTCTCACCCTTCACTAAAATAACATCAAAATGGATCAAATAACTATATACAAAAATCAAAACACTGGGCCGGTCACATAGCTCAGCAGATTAAAGTGTCTGCTTAGTCAGGCACAGGGACTGGGATTCAATCCCTGGTTCATGCTGAGACAACGACTGAGACTGGTGGCACAGGCCTGTAATCCCAGCTCTTGGGAGTCTATAAACAGGCGGATCACTCCGAGTCCCATCTAGTAGTGAGACCTGGAATACCCTGTATGGTAGGCTCTTCCCTAAAATAAAAAAAAAAAAAAAAAAAAAAAAAAAAGGAAAAAAGGAAAGAAAGAAACGGTCATCTCCGAATGAACAATTTAAATGAATAGATACTTCTCAGAAGAAATAGCGCTGTTTAATTTTTGGGAAATCTCATTCACATTTGACATGATAGAAGTCACTTGGATCTTTTCAACTATCTCTTCATTCATTTTTTTTATTTTAAAGAGAATGAAAAATAATAAATAAGACATTAGAAACAATACACAATCTCAAAATAAGACCACAGGTGTTGAACAGTAGTTGCTATGTTGCGCATTGTTGTCTTCAATGCCGTTGTTCAGATTCTCACAGAGATCTGCATTCTCTTTTCCACTATTCATCAGACACATGGTTCACCCAGTCAGAAGTCATTCCAATAGGCTTTCAGGTTAGCTATGGACATGCGCGGGCATTTCACCAACACCTGACTAGTGCTAAATTCTTCAGAGTTGTGACATGGAATGTAAAACTAGTTCAATAAGTTCTCTAACTTACTAAGTTAAAATTCATTGATTGAGTGTATAGATCTTTGATCAAGCATGTATCATTTGGAACCAATTGGTTTATAAATTTTGTATATTTCCCAAATATTGACATATTTACATAGAAAAAAATAAAATGTTTTAAATTTATTATTATTACTTACTAATCACCGGCAGTGTCTCTTTCTAATGGAAAGATACTAATTTTTGTTTGTTTTGAAAATTTTGTTTTATCATTGGGAACCAATATTGCAAGTTTATTTCCTTAAAGTGATAGTCTATGAAGAATATCTGGGACATGCCTAATGTGAATTACAGCTGTTTTTCGGTTTCTTTTTAACGGTTCTCCATGCAATTAAGGTCGCTAGTTCAGTTTGAAACTCAGATGTTATAATTTGAGACTATTTTATTTCAGCACGTGGTCAGGTGTCTCACATGTACTTCCCACTTTAAATAGTGAAATGCAACAACTGAAATGATTCTACTTACTAAAAATTATTGGTCTTTTTATGGCCTTAACAAAGAGATCCACAAGAGAACACCCCACTCCCAGTGAATGTCACAGACAAAAGCCGGGACTTCTGGCAGTTTGGTGTCCGCACTTTATGTCCTGCAAAGCTGCTAGCAATTTTACCAATCACTGCTTTTTCATTATCAGTGCAAATGTCAATCTAGTGAAGAATGTAGGCCGTGCCTCATTATTATAAAAATTATTCTGATCTGCCAGCTTTCTGGAAGGATTTAGAAGCTGAGAATTGTGTAATGGGAAGTGTTGCATCAAAGCGGAGCCATTGCAGTACACCATCTGGACAAGATCTTCTTAGAGACATTTATACTTACTACTTCTAATTATTAAGTGAATTAAAAATTTGTCATGTTCTTCCTTAGGGTTGTTTTGTTGGCTTTGATCTAGCACATGCAGTTGGAAATGTTGAACTTCACTTACATGACTGGGGAGTTGACTTTGCCTGTTGGTGTTCCTACAAGGTAAAAATGTGATAATATATTTACATGCTTTTATTTCACATTGATATTAATCTAAAGAAAATGAAAATTAAATATGTGGGCCAATTTTAAGGATTTGCAGGTCCTGTCAAATAGCTCAGTGGATTAAAGCGCCTGTTTAAGCAGACGAAGTGACCATGGGCTCCATCCCCAGGCCTACCCTGCCATCCTTGCCCCCCAGGCTTCACTCCGGCACAATTGAGACTGGGCAAGGTGATGGGAGCCTGTAATCTCAGCTCTTGGGAGGCTGTAAACAGGAGAATTACAAGGAGTCTGATCTATCATAGTGAGACCCCGAACACCCTGTAGACCCTTCCCTAAAAATACAGAAAAAAAAAAAAAAAAAAAAAAGATCCTTAGGTTTTTTGATTAAGTTGGGAAATTTCTGCATGTGTAACCACAATTCTTTGGAACTCAAATTAGTTTTGATGTTTGAAGACAATTTACTTGATTAAGAGGATGAAAATAAAACCAATTATAATGTATGTGTTTCAAATACATATTCAAAGTTATTTCAACATTTTATGAGAAATTAAAAATAGGAGTTTTTAATTCAATTAGGCCTCAGTGAAACTTCTGCCTATTAGATGGGGCAAAATTTCCCCAAAACAATCATAGATATACATTCTTCAGCCTAGTAATATTTTCTCATTTGTTTTCCTTTGAATAAAATGATGAGAGATTCTGCTTTATTATACAGATTTAAACAGTTACATGTTTTGAACTGGTCAGTAGTTGTAGTTTTATTATCAAAAAGTCAAATCATTGCATTGTTTATTTTTGTCATATAGACAGAAACACCTTTGTAACATAATTTATTCTTAATTCAGTACTTAAATTCAGGAGCAGGAGGTATTGCTGGTGCCTTTATACACGAAAAACATGCCAATACAGTTAAACCCGCGTGAGTACCATTTTCATATTCTTCTTTAGTGCTGAACCAGTTCACATGCATTCATAATACGTTAAATTTACACAAGTTTCTTAAAATTCTATTTGATAGGAATCTGGATTGGATTGTAATTCTTTTACTACTCTATTAAGAATGATATGCTTTATGAGAAATAATTGCTTTTTGAAGAGTTCAAATGGTTGAACAAGAAATTTAATCAAAAAATGGAAGCTTCAATGCTAAAAACGAGTCACTCCAATCATGTGTAGCGGAGTTTTAATGCAAAAGGCCACTTGATTTTTTTTTTTTTTTTAAATTAGACTGTAGAAAATTTCAGATTCCTTACCTGATGGATAAATCAAAGACAACCAGAGCTGTGCCTAATAGAACCTTAAATGTGGCATGTTATTATTAAAATTACACCTACCTATAAAGCAATAAATGTTACATGATTGCTTGTAGGAAAAATCTTCTGTCCTAAAAGACTTTATAATCCATGAAACCTGAAGAAGCCGAACACTGAACAACAGATTGACTACATAAAAAGTATTACTTTTTTATTTTATATAACTCTCTTGCAGTTTTAAAGCAAGTGTAAATGCAAATGTAATACACCAACACATTTATGCAATTTTATTTTACTAGAGAACTCATCAGTGGTCCTTTTACTTTTATCTGATGTGGAAGAGAAAAGAAATCATATTCCAGAAAAAGCCATTTTATAGTTTTATTGGACGGTGTGTGGTAAAGAAATCATGTAGATCCCCAGTTGATAATGTAATACTATTAATTCAATTTCTGCATCCTCCCAGCTCCTGGCTGAGTAGTGTAATCTTTGCAGGAATTAAAGGTGAACAAGTAACAGATCTTGGAGCATCACATATTCTTTGAAGTTCTGTACATATAAATCCCAGGAACATGGGTGATTTGTGTAGTTGATTTAATCATCTCTAAATTTTATTCAGGATTTTGAAATAAGAGTAAATTTTACTGACATACTTGCTCAGGAAAACATTTGCCTTAAATATACTGCAGTGCAGTCATTAGATCTCTTTCTATGTCCCAATAACTTTGAGAAGGATATAAAGCATATGAAGAATATTATGCATATACTAAAATTATTCCTTTTCAACAAATCTCTCCAATAACATCATTCTTCGTTTATTTAATCACAACAGAGGATCCAGTGTACTATGTCAACCTTAGGGCTGGCCAGTGATGTTACTGTGAAATCCAGATTCTAGAGAAAGGAAGGTTCAGCAAAGAAGTTCTAAACTGAGTTTGAGGTTGCACTTCAGATTTTTTCTCACCCTGGATGTTGAAAAGGAGATTTAATGCCGCTGGAGAATGTGTGAGCATCATTTTGTGGAACCCGAATATCTCGCTGGTGTTTAAATATATATTGAGAAAAGGCAACTAGTCAAGTCATTTTCATGTCCCAGCCCAGTTTCTGGCTGGTTTACAATCTCGACAATGTTTCTTGCACTTGAGACAGGGTCTTGCTATGCAGTTCAGGCTGGGCTTGAATTCACTATGTAGCCCACGCTGTCCTTGAACTAACAAGGATTCTCCTGCCTAAGCCTCTCAACAGTGTACCTGATCTCTCAGTATTCTATCGATTTATAGCTATATTATAAGCAAATTTTGTGACAATAAAAGGAGATTATTCATATGGCTACTTAAGCAGTTTCTGATCAGTATAAGCAGGGCTGCATAAAATACATATCCAATGCCAGAATGTGGTGCACCTCTGCAATCCCAGCACTCTGGGAGGCAGGAGAATCCTAACTTCAAATCCACCCTCAGCAGATAAGAAAAAGTCAAAATTGCCTTGAACTCAATCCCAAGATCTCTAGTACCTCTAATATAGATGGAGAGAGAGAGAGAGAGAGAGAGAGAGAGAGAGAGAGAGAGAGAGAGAGAGAGACAGACAGACAGACATAGAGAGAGAGGAGAGAGACACAGATACAGACACAGAGAGGTAGAGAAAGAGAGACAGAGACAGAGAGAGACAGAGAGGACAAGAGACAGACAGAGAGACATTCCAAAGTTTTAAAAAATAAGTGAAAACGATGGGTGGCTTTTAAAAACATAATTGGGAGATTAGTACTTAGACCAAAGTACTCTCTTAACTTGCTGTGAATTTACCACTCAGACTTTCACCTAATGGAGTTCATTTTTCTCAAGAAGGAAACGTAACTCCAAGTTTATGGCTTGTGACCCTACAGGACAGTTTTGTCTATCACCAAGTATATTTCAATATACCTTTGACCAAATGGCAGCATAAATCTCCATTCCTTGAATTCTTTCTTCTTTGGGGCTCGTCTTACTGACTTCCATTTATTAATGAGTTAATTAAGATCATTGTGTGTGTGTGTGTGTGTGTGTGTGTGTGTGTGTGTATCTGTGTGTATGTGTGTCTGTGTGGTACTGGAGATTGAACGTGGGGCCTTGTGCTTGCCAGGGAGGCGCTTATGCTGCTGAACTACCTCCATGGCCCTAATTAAGTTCATTCTCGTGCATTCATTTGGTCTCTACATGAAAACCACACTTGAAACATTTTTTGAAAACATAAACTATTATCCTTTGCATTTTTACTACTTGGCTTTAGAAATCACTATTGACCAATGAAGGCCATCATACAGGAGACCTGGGTTGTTCATTTTCTTGTTTGTTTCCTTGTGCTCTTAAGGCTTCTTTGAAGGCCATGTTGGATTGAACAGTTCCACTGCTGTCACTTTCTGTCCTTCACTGCCCCTTCTGTGCAAGGTACCACGTATTGAATTTAATTTACATTGATAATTTGATATCCTTAACTAGGAATAGCAAACACTAGATAGGCACAGGAACAATAAGCTATTTTCACACAATATGCTTATTGTCCCAGATAGGAAAATAAATGCTTTCTCAAAACTTTACATATGCTCTGTAATATGTTTTACTTCTTCCTGAATCTCTAAATCAAACATTACTTGAGGGGAGAGTGTTAGAATAAGCAAAACAAAGCTTAAAAAGCAAAAGTACTACACCAGATAAGACTAGTTTATATATATTATAATGATATTCAACAAAAATTACTTTGAATATAAAAGGAAGAAAATTTTATAATGAATAGTATTCATAATGTGGTCATTTTATGCATTTAAACTCCAGATGTTCCAAGATGAACACTTTTGTCAATTAAAAACTTTTATTTCAGGTCCAAGGTCTCCCAGATCAGCTGGCTAAGAGTGTATCAAATCTTCCATCACCTGTATGTTTTGACACTTTCTTAAGGAGGCTTGACTAAGAAGGAATTTTTTGTTGTTGTTAAGGTATTCAGCATTATAGCTGAGAAGCATATGGAGATATCGAACATAATGAAATAAGTGAAACTGTTCATACAGCACCAAGTGAAACCATTTGATTGCTTAAAAAAGGGTGACATCTAGTGGCTAAATTCCTTATTGAGATAAATTCAGTCCAAATAAGCTTTTCCTGGTCAGGTAACCCTTTAACAGCTACTTTGAGGTATATAAGTTTAAATTATTTACTTTTATTTGTGATCATTTCACTACGTATTTTAATGCATTAATTTTGCTGCTAAAGCCCTTCAGAAGGAGGAATAATGGGGAAAAGCTGGAACTGAGGGTGAAGGGAGATCCGGGTGTGGTCAGACAGTAGGCTCCCAAGTTCATCACAGCCAGAGCAGGGGAGGCATAAAGACTCCCGGAGACCCCCTCCCCAGCGCATGGTGGGCCCCAGGATGAGCAGTGTAGTATCTTCTGTATCATGTTTGAACTACTCCTTGACCTGGTGTCTCCACTAACAACCAATGAACTGCATCCGTGACAAGAAATCTCAGTACCCCTCCTTTTGTTTAAATAGACATATTGGCTACCATTCAAGACTGGCAACCTAAGGCTTCTACCCAGAGCCTTGAAAAGGACCATGGAAAGAACAAATAAGTTATAGGCCAGAGTCAGTCTGCTGTATCAAACATCATAACTCAAGCTTTTCTTTCTTTTTTTTTTCAAAATTTTATTGATAAACAGAGAGCAATGAGACAGTTTCTAATCAAATCAGTAGTACAGTTTCAATAACTAACACACTGCATATATTCTTCTTAGTGGTTAATTGCTGTATCAAGCTTTTCTTTTCCACTCAAACTTAACCATTTTCTAGTCCATCGTCACCTTCTGCCATTGAAATGTCACGTTCTAAGGATAGTTTGCAGTTAAAATTATGAAAAATGAGGACTGTTTATGAATAAATGACTCCTTCAGAGTTCTGCCACCACTTCAGGGAAGATTGCAGGGCAGTCTACAATGCTAATTGTAGCCATGACATGTAAAAGAAATCACTATTCATTGTACAAGTTTGACAGTCAGCAATGTAGAATTAAGAAAAGTCCTTGAATTTGTTTTAATGTCACAGTGTTGACATTTCCAGTCCATATTTTGGGTGCAATATTTACACTTTTGATTTTAAAGAGTTGAAAACTCTCAAGTCCATGAAAAGATTCTTCTCGAACCCCTCATTTACTGCGATTTGAAAAACTGCCTCTATCCTTCCTTTTCTTGCTTTCTTTTGACATTTTTGACATATATATTCTTCTCTGAAAATGCAAGTAGGTCATATGAGCAATAAAGATTTCTCTTATCAGTTTTTTAAATATTTGTTTCTCTTTTTAAAGAGAGTATTACTCTTTAACTCTGTTCAGTAAAATCACATGCCCTAGAAACCTGCTGTTCCTCACTATCCATATTGAATAACAAACCTCCAAATACCATGCTATATTAGATCTCTTGAAATATTCATTTCTTTCTGGTTTTCTTTGAGGGACCCACAAGGAAGCCTGATGAAAATTCTGATGGAAATGCTCTAATTTTAAGTCTTGCCAACGCATATCCACCCTAAGCTAGAGTTACTTGATTTGAAATTTTAAATAGAAAAACAGTATTTTTCAGGCTTTTTCAAGGGCTCGAGTCATCTTTTCGGTCACGGGTAATTTTTAGGCCAAAGTCAAAGGC